CACACATATAGACAGGACAGATACAGGCAGACCATGGGAGCAGCCATGACGGCGCTCCTTTTGTAGATGAATGAGGGAATACATGAGGAAAGTTCAGGGGAGGGAGAAAAAAAGGCATTAACAGGGTTACATCAGCAGGGTGTAGCACTCTAATGCAAAAAAAAAAAAACACCCGACATGTAAGCATGAACGTCACAGTTCACAACATGAGACCCGGTAGGTAGGAGGGAGGGGCTGGGATCCTGGTTTCCTCAGCGGGGGCTGCCTGTGTGGCGCTCAACCAGCTGAATCCACAGGTGGGAGGGAGGTCATGGGGAAGCACAGAGAGCAGAGAGTTCCTTCAACGTAATGACCTTGCTAGAGACCACAATCTGAAGGCGGGGGGGTGGGTGGATAGAGTTTCACAGCATTTGTCTGCATTCCTTCCATCGTGGGGGTTATTGCACGCAACTCCAAGGCTGCTTATGGCGTCAGATTCGATAACAGAACTTTGTTTGGGTCAGGCAGAGATAATTTTTCCTCTCTGCCTTAAAGTCTGTATTGATCATTCAAGTCCTCCAGTGAAGCCAATTCGGTGATTAAACATCTCCACACCGTCCGGTGACCCTTTCCGAGATGATATCAATCTTGCGCACTAACACCGGTAACGCAGCTAAGACATTGTCCAGCTTGCGATTCACCTCGAGCAACGTCCCAGTCTGTGAGGTATCAACACGGACGGTGCCGTCCATGGTTGCGGGTCGCCCTCCAATCGCTCCCATCATCCCAATTTTACGGAAAGCCAGATATCCTCCCACTCCAATCAGAAGAAATCCAGCGATCATCAGGCCAAATATCCACATATCTTCGACATCCTCAATGGACAGCTGAGAGAGACAGATGTTATTCCACTTCTTCCAGGAATCGAACATATATCCCGCTGCGTGTGTCCCTTGAGGGCAAGCGCGAGCCCCCTCCTCCGTCCTCATTGTAGAAAAAATCTTATCGATCGCGTTGAATGACCAATTAATTAAATCCATGCTGAAAAATAGTAATTGCAGAGGAAATGCAGAGAAGCGCTCTGTAGGCAGACGGGTCAAAAAAGAGCCTTGGGAAAATACAGATAAGGGAGCAAAAGGCAGAAGCGACTGTTCCCTGTGAGTGCCGGAAGAAGAACCGGTATCGCAGCTAGAACATTGTCCAGCTTACGATTCACCTCGAGTAACTTCCCAATCTGAGAAGTCTCCAAACGGACGGTGATTTCCCTGGGTGCGGGTCGCCCTCCAATCGCTCCCGTCTTCCCAAATTTACAGAAAACCAGATATCCTCCCACTCCAATCAGGAGAAATCCAGTGATCATCAGGCCAAATATCCACACGTCTTCGATATCCTCAATGGACAGGAATCCCGCTTATACCCCACCGGGTGTGTCCCCTGTGGACATGTGGGAGCCCCCTGCTCCGTTCTCATTGTTGAAAAAATCTTATCAATCGCGTTGAATGACCAGTTTATTCAAATCCATGGTTAAAAATAGGGTTTTTCAGAAGAAATGCAGAGAAGCGCTCTGTGGGCAGACAGGACAAAGAGCCTAGGGGGAAAAAGATAAGGGAGCGAAAAGAGAAGCGTCTACTCTGCGAGTGCCAGGAAGAAGAAGGCCTTGATTGGGATACATAAATTTAAGAGTGTGTGTCAATGCCAGTGGTGGGTCATCCATAGGGGGTACTAGGACACCTCTACAGCACCACCCTCCCTGACATGAAGGGAAAAAACAATCAAAAGTTAAAAAAGCTACAATATGTATATTTATCATTAATGTGTCAGTTATGCCTAATTGTGTGTGCCTACATTCAGTGTGAACTATTTACACATAATTTTCCCCAGCTGTCACCTAAAAGGAACTACTGTAAATACATTTAAAATCAGTTGGAAAGTCATTAATATATATTTTGAAATAAAGAATAACCACTGACAATTACGCCAAGCAGTTAATGGAAGCCAGGACAAACTTTCATACAGAGTGCAGTGGTGAGATCTGAAAGGACAGCACTTAACAAAATGACACAAGATGTTGTAAACAACATAGAGAGAATGAAGCCTGGATGCTGATGTCACGTTGCGGAGTAGTTGGAGGCGGACCATGTGTGGTGGAGCAGATCAGGAGGCAGAAATGCAGGCACGGATAAAATAAAAGTGGATTTAATGGCAGAGCGGGAACAACAGAACAAAACAACGCTGACAACAAACAATGATCCGACAAAGACTCAAACAAGACGGGAGGTATAAATACTCAGGGAAACAATCAGGAACACATGGGCAGATTAACAAGGGGCAGGTGAGAACAATAAAGACTAATCAGGAGGCAGGGGAGAGTCACAGACAGGGAGGCAGGAGCAGATTGTGACAGTACCCCCCTTTAAGGAGTGAATACCTGATGCCCACAAAACCCCCATAACTCGGGAGACTCGGGACACTGGAACACGGGGACTCAGGAACTGGAACACATGGACTCGAACTGGAACACTGCAGCAGCAGGCGCGGGACCCTGAAGAGGCTGCAGCAGCAGATGCGGGACCCTGAAGAGGCTGCAGCAGCAGGGGACCCTGTAGAGGCTGCAGCGACGGGACTCTGAAGAGGCTGCAACATGGAGGACCTGCAGGCGTAGGCCCCACAGGCGTGGACCAGGAAGTTGATGAACAGCCGGAGCGACGCGAGGAAACCAGGATCGGCGGCAGGTACTCGACAAATGGTCAGAGCAGGTGCACATCAGGATCAAGCTGGGTCCATAGGCGGAGGCTCGGGTGAAGGGAAGCAGAAATGGAGCGGGAAGACCAGCCCTACCACCCCTAAGAATGTTGGCGTGCGTTGGGGGTTTTTACCTCACCAAAACTCCAGGATCCGCAGCTTCCATGGGAAAACAGGACGGGGCGAAACAGCAGGAGAGGAGAATGATTTTGACCACCCCGAGAACAGGTAGGATGCCTCAAAACCCCTCAATGGGTTCGACCACCCCGAGAACAGGTAGGATGCGCAGAAAACCCCTCAAGTCAAAATCTCCCTCCGCTGAAAAGGAGACAAAGCAAAAAATAATCCTCCAGGCAGATGACTAGAGCTCACCACAGGTCCAGGTTGGTCGGATCATTCTATCACGTTGCGGAGTAGTTGGAGGTGGACCATTTGTGGTGGAGCAGATCAGGAGGCAGGAATGCAGGCACGGATAAAATAAAAGTGGATTTAATGGCAGAGCGGGAATGACAGAACAAAACAACGCTGACAACAAACAATGATCCAACAAAGACTCAAACAAGATGGGAGGTATAAATACTCAGGGAAACATTCAGGAACACATGGGCAGATTAATTAGGGGCAGGTTTTACGTGCCATGCCCCTTTTCGGCCACAAGATGGCCCCAGAGGCCTTTGCCTCGCCTGTCTCCCGGTGCCCAGTTGTCTTTAATCCGAGGTAATTACTGGACAGCTGTTAAAAGCTGCTCCACAGCCATTAGTTCCTGGAGAAGGTCCAAGGGTAGAATAGACTGGCAACAGTTTATTGTGCTCTCTTCTCCTCGGTTCGCTTTTGATATAACTCTGTTCGCTCACTAGACTTTGGTTTATTCTCACTTGGATACTTGGATTACGGATTTGGATTAAGGATAAGACTTTTTGGCAATTTGACTTCGGACCGGCATTTGGATTTAGGCTTTGGATCTCCCCTTTTGTGTAAATAGTATATTCTCGGTTGTTTACCCCCATCCCCTTCTGGGTTGGCGTTTGTGGTTTCTCCTTATTAAATATTGCTCCTTTGGTTTTGTATATAGTATTGCTTTTTACTTATTTGTAAATATTCCATTCCTTTTGTAATAAATCCCTTGTTTTATAGCGACACAGCACTGTTTATTATTAAATCCACACACCACTTTTATTACTCCCCTCCTCATCTCTCCTAGAGAGCCGGGGACGTAGGTGAGAACAGGTGAGAACAATAAAGACTAATCAGGAGGCAGGGGAGAGTCACAGACAGGGAGGCAGGAGCAGATTGTGACAGTTGAAGGCTTTTGGTAAATTCAAAAGGGTTCAAATGAAGGCAACTGGACTTCTTTTGGTTTCTTGAAGACATTTTACTTCTCATCCGAGGTGCTTTGTCAATTTGACTGGAATATGGGAGAGTCACGCTTAATTTACAAAGTTCCTCATATAAGAAGCGAAACGTCTTCACGGAACCAAAGAAGTCCCATTGCCTTCATTTGAACCCATTTGGATTACCATAACCTGGATGACTGAGGACCTTCACCAGCATTTTGGTAACTTATGTCCACATAACCTTAAATTAGAAATCTAAGTTGTGTTACAATAGACTCCTAACTCTCAAGTCAAAGGAATTAATTGATTGATATAAAGATTTTAAATCGTATATAACCTTAGGAGTAAATTAAGTTAGTTTATGTTAATGTCTCAGTTAAAGTTCACTGTGCAAATGTTGCGTAATGATTGTTGCAAGGAGGGTAAAGTGCAGCAATCAGCCCTTTCAATTTGTTTTCTGTGCGGACAAATAGATTAGTTACCTGCAGGAGTTGAACCAGTTCTGGACTGTTCCAGAGCTATTATTTCAAGCAAATGCATAAAACAGTGCCAGCTTAAAAGTGAGAGTTTCAAATAAATGTCTTCTTGACAGAACTTATGCAAAGGTCTTCAACAAAAGGATCTGCTGTTAAAACGTGACAATAGCATTGTGGAAAGAGGTGCTGCAGAAACGTGGGCTGTATATTCAGCAAAGGCTTTAAAAGTCCTGAAAAGAGACAGATTTGAGACTAAATTTGCTTGTATCACATTATAGTTTCATATCAACAGTTGAAATCCTCACAACATCAGACAGTCTTCTATGAAATCAGTTGCATCAAGATGAAACATGATTCAGGCTGAAACTTTAGGGGCAAAGCTCTGACGAACATTATGTATGTGGGTGTTTTGATGAACTCATAGCTTCTGCACATCGCACCCTCCGCTTTTGAAGCCAAACGTGAAGCAAACCCCTCCCCCACCCGGGAACTGGACTTGGATATAAAGAGATTGTGCAGAAACAGCTACGGTACCTACTGCCCAGCTCTTCAGTCTCCTGGACAAGAGGACACCTCACCATGAAGCTGTTTCTATGTTTCTGCTTGGCCCTTTCTCTGGCATTGGTTCTGTAAGTGAATGTTTGAAAACTTTATTATGCTCTAGATCTCGAGCTAATGATAAAATACGTTTTGTTGTATTGAAGTGGGCTTGGTATTAAATCACTGAAGCTTGCTTATGCACTCAAAAGTGCATATCTATAAAGATAATCTGGAGCCAACTATAAATTCAGATGTGATCAGGAGAAAATAAACAGTAAATTTAAACTTGCATCTATTTTACATCTGATGTGACAGGGAAACAACTGTATCTTTGAAATATTCTTCTCAGTTTTTTAAAAGTTTGATAATGATGTATCAACTGCACTCATGCATACAGAGACAGTTTTATACTGAAACCATAAAAGACTACAAGTTCAAATTCTCCATCATTATTAACTGCTTCTAAAGTCGTAAACGCGTTGCAGCAAAGTCTCTCGGGTCTCACGGGGGCAGCATCCCAACTAGGGAGTTCCAGACTGTCCTCTACCCAGCTACCTCCACAAGCTCCTCCGGTATAGGACCCCAAGGCAGTCCTGGGCCAGTTCGGAGATGTACTTTCTCCAATGTGTCCTGGGTTGACCATGGGGTCTCCTGCCGGCAGGACATGCCTGGAACACCTCCTTGGGGAGGTGTCCAGGAGACATCCTAACAAGGTCCCCAAACCACCTTAACTGACTCCTCTCGATTCTATTGAGAGGTTGCAGCAAAGTGGCATGCAAAATGAACACAACATGATGTGTTGGGTCTCCTTTATCTGACTCTGTTCAAACAGGGGGAATCATCACGAACAAGGCAACGATGAGCACGGACATGGCAATGACAACCACGGAAGCGGCAATGACAACCACGGAAGTGGCAATGACAAGCACGGAAGCGGCAATGACAACCACGGAAGTGGCAATGACAAGCACGGAAGCGGCAATGACAACCACAGAAGTGGCAATGACAAGCACGGAAGCGGCAATGACAACCACAGAAGTGGCAATGACAAGCACGGAAGCGGCAATGACAACCACAGAAGTGGCAATGACAATCACGGAAGCGGCAATGACAACCACAGAAGTGGCAATGACAAGCACGGAAGCGGCAATGACAACCACAGAAGTGGCAATGACAAGCACGGAAGCGGCAATGACAACCACAGAAGTGGCAATGACAAGCACGGAAGCGGCAATGACAACCACGGACATGGCAATGACAAGCTCGGAAGTGGCAATGACAACCACGGACATGGCAATGACAACCACGGACATGGCAATGACAACCATGGAAGTGGCAATGACAACCACAGAAGTGGCAATGACAACCACAGAAGTGGCAATGACAACCACAGAAGTGGCAATGACAACCACAGAAGTGGCAATGACAACCACAGAAGTGGCAATGACAAGCACAGAAGCGGCAATGACAACCACAGAAGTGGCAATGACAAGCACGGAAGCGGCAATGACAACCACAGACACGGCAATAACAATCATGGAAGTGGCAATGACAACCACAGACACGGCAATCATCATAATAACCACCATGGATTGGGTGAATATTTTGGCAGAGGTGACAAATCTAATTTTATCTAAATCTTACATCTTTAATTCTGGTTTAATATTGTGTAGTTCGTCCTGACCGTTGTCAAGGCCTTGAGATGGACGCTGCAACTGAGAATGAAGAGGGTGTACCTTACTTTTTCAAAGGTAAAGGGCATTTGTGTTATTTCACTCAATCATTTATACCCTGGAATAGAACTACCAGTGCTTTTTTGTGGTTTTAGAAAGTTTTATTTGTCACCTTTTGGGCAAGGACCAATTTGTAAGGATGGTGCTTCTAGAAGATTAACACAGCTAAAAATTCAATTCAAATTCCTGGCCAGTGTTCTTCTGTTGATATTCAACTTTGTTCAAGAGGCTTGTTAGACCAGATGATCATCATTTCCCACAGTAATGAGGAAAACAACAACATATATTAGCCAAGATCCTCAGTAGCATGTGGAAGATCTCTACGCAACCACAACAATTTGGCTCCTCCTTCTCATGCTGGTTACTAGTCTAGTCAAATGTAGCTGTTGAATGACATCACATTTTTCAACCAGGAGTTGAAGGCAGTGGCCCTTCTTGAAGGTCAACCATCGTGTGTGTTATAACTCTGGCACAAACACTATGACCAAGCAGTCCTATAGTTGTCAAGCAGGTATCAGTCATATTGTGAGTAGAACACACCTGGCAACACCTGATGGTCAGAACAAGAGAAAATACCAACAGAACACTATTTCAGGGGGTTTAGGTAAATCGCTACCTATATGCTGTGCTGTGTGCATCATCACACAGATGAACAATTCTTACAAGTTGTGCCTCATTGTAAAGGTGACTAATCAGGTGACCAACATGTATAATAAATAATAGAATTGACTGACTGATTTATGACAAAATAAGCTAGAAACATGCTTGTTTCCTGTTTACCCACTTTAATGCATGTTCTATCAGGTCACTTTTTATTCAAGGGCTTCCATGGCAAACCTGAGGTGGCCAATGAGACTTTTCCTGAGTTGGATGAATATCATCACCTCGGCCATGTAGATGCTGCTTTCCTCATGCACTACGAGGACGAGCCCACCCACCATGACCGCATCTTCTTATTCTTGGTACAGTCGAATGACAATAAAATGACTACTTGTTAGTTGACCAGATGTTCAAAAAGCATGACTCAATCAGCTCAAATAATCAGAACAAAAAGGACTGAACAAAAATGTTTCCCTTGGAGTAAAGAGTTCAATGGTGATTGCTTATATTCTGATATGGTATTTCCTGCTCATTTTATGTAGGACAACAAAGTATTTGCCTACTACCAACACAAGCTGGAGAGCGGCTACCCCAAGAATATCTCTGAAGTCTTCCCTGGAGTCCCAGACCACCTAGATGCTGCTGTAGAGTGTCCCAGTCCACAGTGTGCAATCGACTCTGTCCTCTTCTTCAAGGGTAAAGTTGTTGTTAGACTGCTGTCTGATTGGAAACCAGTTTGAAATATATATATATATAGAGATATATAGATATATAGATATATAGATATATATAGATATGATTCCTATTTTATTCATTATAAAAAAGTGTTTGTCTCAGAAATGTGAAATAATTAGATTTTGATAAATATGTAAGAAAGTAAAAGTTTATTTATATAGCACCTTTGAAGATAAAAATGATATGGTGCGTAACAATCACAAACAAGGAGGTGAGAGAGATATACAGAGAGATCAGACACAATCACAAAAAATAACCACCAGGAAAGCCGACGGATCAACAGGAGTTCACACCAAAACCAGCTTGAACAAGTGAGTCTTCAGCTGCTTTTTAAAGCAGACCACTGAGTCAACTGATCTCAGGATCAGATGGAGATAGTTCCAGAGTCTGTGGGGCCTCAGCAGCAAATGATCTGTCACGTTTGGTCTTTAGCCTGGTGAGCTGCACAACCAGGAGGCTTTGGTCTCTGGACCTCAAGACCCTGCTGGGGGTGTAACGACTGAGAAGATCACCAATGTATGATGGTGCTGAAAATCAGAACAAGCATCTTGAAATGAACTCTGTGGTTTATTGGCACCCAGAGAAGCTGGGGGAGGAGACCTGTACTTTTTTTAGAGGACCTGGTCAGAAGATGAGCACAGGCAATCTGAACTACCAGTAATTCATCCAAGCAGGTTTTGTTGCAATTATCCAAATGTGAGGAGATGAAGGTGTGGATAGAGTTCAGAACGTGACAGAATGGGACTCAGCTTAGCAATGTTCCTGAGATGGAAGAAGGAAGAGTGAACAAGAGAATTAACATGAGAATCCAGAGTGAGAGCTGGGTCAAAGGTCACACCAAGATTCCAGACAGTTTGTGTGAGAAGCAAGCTGACCTAGAGAGTCTCTGACTTTAGGAGACGTGTTTTCCCAGGGCACAGATAAGGATCTCAGTCTTATCTTCACTCAGCTGTAGATAGCTCCCAGCCATCTTGTTTCAATCCAGTCTTAGCAGGTGTGTAACAGCTGCAGCTTAGACATCTCATGGGGTTAAAGAAGATGTACAGTTGGATGTCATCTGCATAAAGATGGTAGGAGATTTCTTTGAAATGAGCTCAGGATGTGCTGAAGAGGGAGCAGATGAAGGAGGAACAGTAGAGGCCCCTGCTCAGAACCTTGTGGGACACCATGGGCGAGAGTGGTGGTGGACGACTGAAACTAAGATGTATTGAAGTAGGAACACTTAAACAAATAAAAGAAAAAACAATTTTCATAGGCCTGGTAAGAGCATAGAGCTCGGTCCTTTGGTTTTAAATTGAACATGCTCAAGGACAAGCTGATTAAAAATGCTGCTATGGGAAAGCCAAGTTACTGTCTAATTGTTACGTTTGTGTTTACTCATTCTCTTGCTTTAGGAAAGGATGTCTACCACTACATACCACAAAACAAGACTGTGCACAAGGAAGACTTCACGCTAAACTGCACTTCTACATTCCGCTTCATGGAGCACTTCTACTGCTTCCGTGGACACAAGTTCTCCAAGTTTAACCCAAGGACTGGTGAGGTTAATGGGAAATACCCCAAAGAGGCACGTGGCTACTTCATGAAGTGCTCTAAGTTTGGTAAGTGAAGGGAAAAATATACATTTATTTTACTTAAATAATCTCAGTATCCCAGACATGCTTTTATTTATTTAATGTTGTTGAGCAAACTTCTGTATCAGTTGCTTTTGTGGCCATGATGAGCAAAGTCAAAGTGGAAATTCAAAATCCTTCATTGCTGTTCAGGTGCTGACAGTGACCATCTGGAAAGAGAACGCTGCAGCCGTGTTCACCTGGATGCCATCACATCAGACGATGCCGGAAACATTTACGCCTTCAGAGGTGAGAAACACAGAAATACTCACTCACTTACTGACATATTGGACTAGATTTTGCTGGTGGTGGACGGAGGGACCGGTGGTGCCTCTGTTCAACCGCCTCACTTCTGTCAGAGCGCCCCAGGGCAGCTGTGGTTACTTGTAGCCAGTGTGCGAATGTGTGTGTGTGTGTGTAAGGGATCTCCTCATTTTGCAGGTCACCATTATATTCGTGAATTTGAAAACGATACGCTGACGTCTGGCACCATTGAGAGTGCTTTCAAAGAGTTGCACAGCGACGTGGATGCTGTCTTCTCCTATAACAATCATCTCTACATGATCAAGGTAAAACAAACTCATAAAGACAGAGGAGCAACCTGTCAGTGTGACCCCTCTGCTCACTTTCTCTTTCTCCTTCAGGACAAACAACTGTATGTTTACAAAGTTGGTGAGCCCCACACCCTTCTGGCTGGCTACCCCAAGACTGTGAAGGAGGAGCTGGGCATCGAAGGCCCCATTGATGCCGCATTTGTCTGCCAAGACGATCACATTGCTCACATCGTCAAAGGTGGGAGACTTATTTTTTTTATTTAATTATTTTATTTATTTAAAAAGTATTTCATTGTCTTGAGTTTCACACCTGAGCTTACATACTTTCCTGCTCACCACAGGCAGAGACATCTATGATGTGGACTTGAGTGTCACTCCTCGTGTTGCAACCAACAAGCGTCCAATCGCCGTCTTTAAGAAAGTTGACAGTGCCATGTGCGGTCCTGATGGAGTTAAAGTGATTGTTGGGAGCCACTTTTACAAGTTTGCAAGTCCCATGCTGTTCGTCGCTTCCAGGGCCATGCCCCAGCCTCACAAAGTGTCTCGGGACCTGTTTGGCTGTGATCACTAAGCAGCTACTTTGAAAGGACTGAATGGCTACTGCAAAGCATCACAAACAACACGATCAAACTACAGCACTGATGACATCTGTCTAGAGGCCACTTTCTGCCTTAAAACTGGTTTCCCTTCTGTGCCTTACCTCAAAAGTAAACCTGAACATCTGCTATTTCTCCTAGAAGGGATGCTGTTTTCTTGCCAACACTTTGTGGTCCTTTATGCTACCAAGGACGTTGGATTTTGTACAGTGTCGTCAATAAAAAGCTGCAGCAACCAACATCACAGTGTTTCCTTTGAAATACCATCACAATTTTTACCTAGAAGTTGCATGCTATAACTATACTTTACCAGCAGAGGGTGAAACAGTTCCATTTCAGGAATCTAATGAAGAAACTTCTAGTTCACTCTCTCTACAGCTGAGCTTTTTCTGAATCAAACAGGGCAGCTGTGTGTTTGTGAGATCCTATTTTTGTGAGGCTGAAACAGAGAATGGGACCTGAGCTGTTCACAGTGCAGGGACATTTCTTTGTAAGCTTAATCTTTCTAAAATATAATATAATATGATATAAAATAATATAATATAATTAATATAACATAACACAACACTGCTGCCACATATAATTTAACATAATATACCTACATCATTTGAAGATTAAAACACACACACACACACACACACACACACACACACACACACACACACACACATATATATATATATATATATATATATATATATATATATGTATGTATGTATGTATAAAACAAATAAGGGAAAGGCAGTGTTAAGTTTGGAGTGTCTGAATGAGACAATTGGATGATGTCAGCTTCATGAAGCGGACTGAAGCCTCTCTACAAACGGGATACTTCATGAGATCACATCATCCCTTACTTCACTCCAATGGCTGATGGGATTACAACAGAAGAAGAGACAGAGTGTTTCTTCACTATTCTTGACATGATGCTACAACCAGCCAGTTAAGCTAAGAACACGCTAACATAAACGCTAAGTTATGAAAAATATATATTTTTTAATTATATAAATAAAGTACCACTACTTGGTAAGATTAGAAATGACAAGAAAACTGAATTTGAAAACCAGTTTAGCTTCATGTTCATTTGTGTGTTAGCTCTGCTTCTGCTGCCAAAGTGTCACAGATCCAGATGATGTGTTTATGTTTGTGCACTTTTGGATGTTAGATGCATCGCTGCAGGGATTATTACCTGCTGCCAAAATGAAAATGATGCAGACAACAGCGGTTTCCCTTGTTTATGATCGGAGAATCGCTTTGATTCATCTCAGTGACACATTAAATATCATCACTCACAAACATGCTCACACACACACCCACATGCGCGCGCGCACACACACACACACACACACACACACACACACACACACACACTTACAGACAGGCTTAAGTAGCACGAACAACAGCCAATGGGCTGTTTAATCCAGGGCCGGTACAGTATGTTTGTGCATGCATGCATGTGTGTGTGTGTGTGTGTGTGTGTGTGTGTGTGTGTGTGTGTGTGTGTGTGTGTGTGTGTGTGTGTGTGTGTGTGCATCTCCTTGCTGGATGTGAGGCTTAATTAACTGGACTGGGAGGGATGATGGACATCTGCTCTCAGCCTGCCATTTAGGGTAGCTTGACCCCCTCAAAATGTGTGTGCATGTGTGTGTGCGCGCATGTGCGCGCACGTGTGCATGGAACAAGCAGGTATGGACTTTGGCCAAGACTGTGCCAGATAAACGTTGGATCTCAGGACCAGATGGTGCCAGCTAGCGTCCTCTCTGTAGACTGGTGACCGCTAAAAACACTTCCTCAGATGTAACCCCGATGCCCTGCATCAAACTGTCAGAGAGACTAGCAAACCAGTCTGGTAAACACACACACACACACACACACACACACACACACACACACACACACACACACACACACACACACACACACACACATACAGAGAGAGAAATAAAACAGGTCCATTATTAGATTGAATGACATTTTAAAGCTTTTTAATGAATTTTAGAATCAGAACTTTCATGTTTTAACCTTTTTTCAGTTTTAGATCCTCTTGATCTTTCTGTTTGTCTACCTTTTACTTCAGCTCACCCTGCATTCACTGTACCTCAGAGATGAGAGGTGTCACCATGAAAAGTGACATATGTGCACAATGAAGACATCAGCTCCCTTCCCCTTCTCAACTCCTCAGAGAGACAGAAATCCTCCATGATGTCTCCGGCTGGTTATGCTCCCAGCTGCTTAAACTTTCAGTAACTAAAATATGTAAAAAGACCTGAATGTAAAATAAAAGACGTTGCGTTGGTGAGATTTTGTTGCATTCTGAAAATACATCTAAGCATTATCAAGCCAACTTAAAGATCAACATGCTTGCACGTTCTCATGAGTGTATCATTTTCTTTATGCAGATAACAGTTAAAATGACAAGAAATCAAATCTGTAATCTGGAAAAAATTAAATGTTTCAGGACTGTATTGCTCTAAATTATTAACTTTTTACTTAATGTTGTTAACAATAAAGTGTGCATTACAAAAAAAACATGACCTAAATGTATGCTAGTTTACTTTAGCTTTAGTAAAAACAAACATGATTGTTTTTATCAGATTTCTGACCTGTAACCTGATTTTAATGATGAATTCAACCATGCTAGCTGCACCATTTTTACATTAAAATGTAAAATTACTTATTGTTGTTAAACTTTGGCTTCAACAACAAAAGTTACTTTTAGTTCAACTCAAGGTTTGAGCTTTGGAAGCTTTAATGCCTGTGTATGTATTTCTTTGTTTCCAGTCTAAGTTTTAATGTAACTTTAGTTGCTTGTCCAGTTTACAGGAAGGTGTTTGCACTCATATTTCAGTCAAGTTAATTCAGCTTTAGATATAATCCTTCCAAATATTTTAACTACAAATGCTCACAAATTAAACCGCTCAAGACACATATCAGCTACAAAGAATGCCACTTCACAGATTTTGGACTAACATTTTGTAGTTACGAGTAGCTGAGAGCCATTCACAAATCATACTTTCAATACCTGCTGCACAAAATCTTTGGCCCTCGCTGAACCAAAGCGTGGCTAAAAGTCAGTGAATTTTATAGATTTTGAGCTAAAACATCTTGTGGTTTGGGCTGAGAGTTACTCCCAATAACACCATCAGACTGCATGAAGTCCTGAAATTGTGCCTAAAGATTTAGCCAACCCACAACTTAAGAAATGACGATTTTAGTTTAAAACTGTGATAAAAGTTTCAATGGTGCCCCCAAGGGGTGGCCAGGGGTGGCCATGGCCACCCCTAGAAAATTGCAGGTTCTCGATTTACCGGTCGATCTACGTCCCAATCCTCACCTATAGTCATGAGCTTTGGGTAATGACCGAAAGAACGAGATTGCGGATACAAGCGACCGAAATGAGTTTCCTCCGTAGGGTGGCCGGGCTCAGCCTTAGAGATAGGGTGAGGAGCTCGGACATTCGGGAGGGACTCGGAGTAGAACCGCTGCTCCTCCGGATCGAAAGGAGTCAGTTGAGGTGGTTTGCGCATCTGGTCAGGATGCCTCCTGGACGCCTCCCTGGGGAGGTGTTTCGGGCATGTCCTGCCGGCAGGGGGCCCCCGGGTCGACCCAGGACACGTTGGAGAGGTTACATCTCCAATCTGGTCCGGGAACGCCTTGGGGTCCTGCCGGAGGAGCTGGTGGAGAAGGCCAGGGAGAGGACAGTCTGGAGCTCCCTAGTTGGGATGCTGCCCCCACGACCCGGACCCGGATAAGCGGAGGAAGACAACGACGACGAAGAAATTATCAGAATTTAAAAAATGCACATGATTCTGCTGCTAACCATTTTAAAAACTTTTTTATCTCCATGTTTTTGTGGACACAGCAACAGGTGAATTAAACAAAAAAAGAAGCGTTTTTAAATAGAATTAGAAAATGCATTTCAGATAACTGAAATGCATTTTTCTGAAACATTTGTGTTTGTAAAATTTAAGTGAAATGTTTTGGATACATGCTGTTTTTTTTAATGAAAAACGGATAAAGGAGCAATGCTTTACATCGCCACAGGTTAGACTCTACCAGAGTTACCACAAGGACCAGTTTGGTGTGCCACCCCAAAAATTTCTTTGGCTCCATCTGGCCACCCCTATCAACATTTTCTGGAGGTGCCCCTGAAAAGGGAGGATGAAAAACATTCTTTCAGGGAATTCCTGACTCAAGTTTTATGTGAAACTTCATGAAACATCTTCTTGGCTCCTGTTTGTCTCAGTCTGCTGTTGGCAGAGAGATCTTGTTGCTGTGCTCGTTGAACTTCCTCCTTCCCAAAACTTTCCACCACCTCTACATCCTCTCCCGTCACTCCTCCCGTCTCCCCCACTCCTGCATGTCTAACCTTCCACCCCCTCTTGTGTCCTGTGTATTGGGCTGTGTGGAGCTGTCAGTCCCTGGCTGAGCCTGCCAAGCGGCACATCCCGGTCAGAGGGGAGGCCGGGGCAAATGGTCGGGGCATCTTTGTGGGTCCGGCCGACCTCCCACCACTGAGCGGCGGACCCCCTCAACAGATTGAGGCTCCAGCTGGCCGGCACAGGGTCCGCCGTGGCACCATGCTGAGAGCACACATGCCACAAAGCAGATATTCCCACTTGCACACAAACATAAACTAACATGTGCATGTATGAGACACATGCTCGCCTGACACAACCATGCTGTTGTGTTTCTATATGGCCACATTGTAATAAAAACATCCAGGAAGCATTCAGACTGGATCCACATTTTTTCAAAGTTTTAGGGATTTTTATTTACCTTCAGCTAAATCACACATTAGTGTGGCATTTTCTTTTTAAATTGCTTTTTCCTAAACTAAACTAAATAAAAAGACTAAATCTTGAATGTAAACACCAACTAAGATCCTTATTTTAACAACGTTAGTCTTGCTGTGTCCATAAAAACCCAAACACGGGTTGTTGGAGCTGAGGGCTTTAAAGATGAGCCAACCACCTCCTGCTGACCTTCGTGCAGTAAATAAAACCAGTGCCAACCGGCCACTACGGCTCTCCTGATGTAACAGATAAAACTCATCTGCTCATATTTCAACTATATATTTTTCTTTGTCTTGCTACACATTGTTGCTACTGAACTGCTGCGATCAAATCTGCAAACGTAAAGAACATCTCCCCAAAAAGATGTTTTTGGCTGCATTAACCTTAAATTTGCTTTAATTTCTCAACAGAAACATCAAATTAAATAGCAAACAGAACTTTATTTA